ATGTGATGAGGGGGGCCCTCAAGGCTCAAGGACGACAGAACTTATTCAGAGGGTTCACGGCCATGACTATCCACCTTAGCGGAGGCAACGTCGTTCTATTCCCCCTCTACCTTCTTCCCAAGGAGGGCATGCAGGGCAGCAACTTTGAAAAGATCAAGGCGCTCTCGACGGTCATAGGGAGCATCGCGGACCCATGGATTATCATGGCAGATTGGAATATGGCCCCATCCCTGGTCGAGAAGTCGGGCCCCCCCACGCGCCTGGGAGGCAAGGTGATCGTTCCGAAGATTCAGATCACCTGTGACAAGGGCAAGGGCAGTCTCATAGATTTTGCCATGGCTCGAACAGATATTGCAGACGGCATCACCATCGACGGTCACGAGAAAGTACCTTGGAGGACGCATACTGGGCTCCTGCTCAAATTACCAGGGCGCTCGGAGGCTTGGTGGCACAGACATTTGGATCTCCCCAAGCCGTTGCCTCTGGTGCTCCCACCAAAGAAGGCCCCCGACCCAAAGAGCAAGCGCAGTAAAAAGAAGGAGGCAGCACAACAGAAGAGACTGGCAGAACTCCCTGAAGAATTGCGCGAGGAGTTCAACGTGCTCGAGCCCCCGCAGACCAACACGCAGCACACGGTGCAGTACGCGAAAGACGAGGGCCAGTGGGAGCAGGCCAGCCGCATCGCCATCGGCCCAGCGTTGTCCGAGCAGATGCACGAGTTGGAGGCCAACCTCCTCATCCGAGGAGAGCATCAGAAGCTCATGGAGCAGGCGATCACAGGCGGGCATGCGATCTGGGTCACCACTCTGGAGGAGGCGATCATCGGAGCAGACAAGATGTACGCAGCGCAGGCTGATGCACACCGAGGCAGAGGAGGTGGTTTTGCAATCAGATGGCAAAGATCGAAGGCCACACCAGGTCGCACGCACATGAAGTATCAAGCAGCAGAGTTGTGGTCGATAATGGGAGTATTGATTACCAGATACGCGCCACTACGGCTTAACGGTTCAGACGACTTGCAACAGAGGAAGTGTGAGAAGGAGTTGTCTGATACCTACCAGCAGCTCAGGAGGATGGGTTTGGATCAGATCTTTGGGAAACATTTTGATCAATATGACGCTGATGAGCGCATGCTAGGCGTGCAGGAGGTCAAGACACACACGCTGGACGAGCTTGATATGTTCAAGGATGAGATCGAAAAGCACATGGCAATAGCGGTCTCCAGGGGCATCTCCACTCAGCGGCAGCAGTTCACCAAGTGGGCAAAGAACATGTGGGCGGAGAAGCCAGGCATCCTGCATAAGCACGTCAAAGATCCAGTGCAGCCGACCTACGAGCAGTATCACCAGGACGCTAGCTCGGCGGATCCAGAGATCCTCATGCACACGAAGAGGGAGAGATGGTTGAAGATCTGGACGGACGCAGTGGACACCAGAGAGGACATCGCGGCTGAGCTGCAGGTCATGCACAGACAGGCCAGAGAAGAAGATTTGGATCCTATCACAATAGAAGAGTTCGGCTCGGCCATGCAGGCCACGAACCCCAACAAAGCAGGCGGCGCGGACGGTCTCAAGTTGCACGATATCAAGAGGGCCCCGCAGGGTGCACGCCAGAAGCTGGTCGACCTCATCAACATGTGCGAGCAGACGGGCACGTGGCCGAGGCAGTGGACGGCGACACTCGGGGCCGTGGTTCCGAAACCAGCAGGCGGAGAGAGGGCATTGGGGATGCTACCCCTACCAGTCAAGTTGTGGAGCAGGACGAGGGCGTCACCGTGCAGCGAATGGAGTGAGGCACTGAGCGCGCACTGGGACACGGCCCTCAAAGGCAGCTCGGCGTTGAGGGCTGGTCTGCTCCGTGCCTGCCTGGACGAGGCGGGGTACGAGCTGGGCATCTCCAGCCTCGCCCTCCTGGGGGACGCCGAGAAGTTCTACGACAGCGTCAGCCTGGTGCTGCTGATGCGCATCGCGAGGGGCAGCGGCTACCCAGCAGTCGTAGTCGAGATGGAAGTACTCATCTTCGCGGCGGCACGGTTTCTTAAGGACAAGTCGGCGCTGAGTGAGGCTATATGGGTATCCAGATCGATAGTTGCGGGGTCGCCCAGAGGAGTCAGCCTCGCGAAGGTGTTTCTCCACCCGGTCTTACAGCGAGCACACATCATATCGCCCACAGCGGGGCTCTGGACTTTCGTCGACGACACTGTGGCTCGAGAGGAAGGCACTTCACAGGACACCCCAGATAAGATGGTCAGAGTGGCTTGCGAGCTCGCCCAAGGACTTCATCAACAGAGGCTCAAGATCTCAGACAAGACAGTCATCGTTGGCTCGTGCAGGGGCATGGTCAAGAGCGCGGCTAAGAGGTTGCAGCAGAACGGCGCCCCAGCCAAGGCCAAGACGTTCACGAAGGACCTGGGCCTCGACGCTGCTGCTGGGCGCAAACGAGTTGTAAGGACACTAAAGAGACGCATCCTGGCAGCCAAGAGACGGTTCGGCAAGATCAAGAGGCCGAGGAAAAGTACTACCTTGGCGAAAGAAGCGAAAGGACTCTGGTCAACGGGCGCCATGCCCCAGGCCACATACGGACATCAAGCGTTCGGCCTGTCCATGTCGGAGCTGATGAAACTCAGAAGACAAGCGGGACAGATCGCAGCAGGATCACAAGGAGGCAAATGTCTGACTACAACACTGGCAATCGAGATGTGGGACAAGGAGCCAGGTCTGGAATTGCGCCAACGAGTTGTTCACGAGTGGCTGGCTATGTGGCAGGTGAATCCCCAGATACATGCGAGAGTCAAGTTAGCATGGCCAAAGATCAGGCAACGACTGGTCACGGCTGGACGGAGGAGATGGGCCTATGTCAGAGGCCCGATCGCCACACTGCAGGCCACGCTGATGGACATAGGCTGGAACCCCATCAAGGCGACAGAGTGGGACATGCCACTACTTGATGGACAGTTGCAGGCATGGCTCATCCCCAGCGCCACGGACACGGAGTACACGAATGATTGGGAGAGGCTCGCTATCTTGGGAGATGTGGTCAGTGATATGCGCAGGTTGTACTGGGAGCAGGCGTCGAAGCACGAGGATGGAGCGGACCTTCACCCAGGAGCTGACGTATGGAGAATCAGAGCAGAACAACGTAAGTTTCACAATGAAGGAGCTTCAGATTTGGCGGCGCTCAACTTGACAGTTACCACAGGTGGGCAGTGGGCCCGAACGAGGCGAGCCAGACAAGGGCATTTGATTGAGTCCAAGCTTTGCCCGCGCTGCTTGCTCACAGATGAGAGTTTGCACCACCGCATTTGGGAATGCGAGCAGAACAAGGGCCACGAGGACTTCGAGAAGTCGGAGGTGCTCGTGGTGCAGGCGGCGGCGCAGCACGAAGCGTCGCCTGCCCTGTGGCTTCGGGGTGTGCCAGCCGTTGGGCTCACCACTCCTGGCTTAGATGAAGCGCTCATCGGCCAGCTTCAGGTGGATTTTAATACACAAGGCTTCGCCGAATGCACGGAGGCAGGCAGAGTTCACATTTTCGGAGACGGCTCGGGGGGCAAATATTCTGACGACCCCAGACGGAGGCGCTGCGGAGCAGCGATCGTGGGGCTCGTGATGGAGTCGGGAGGCGGGTGGACCTTGGGGGAGGCTCTCGGGGTTCCTCTGCTCGGAGAAAAGCAAACGGTCCCCCGAGCCGAAGTTTTAGCCTTCTGCCTGGCTCTAGAGCAAGTAGATCCAGATCGCGGTTTCACATTTGTGACGGATCATAAGACGATCTCCAGGACCTGGAGGGCCCGCTTTCGGAGGCCCAGCCCTGTGGGCGCCAGCGAAGACCTCTGGACCAGGGCCCGCAAAGCCTTCCAGGCCAGGAGAAATTCAGATGTGGAAGTTGTGTGGTTCCCCTCCCATCAAGAGGAGGCCCCTGAGAAATTAGACACGCGCGAGAAACTCTTTTATGCCTCTGGCAACGCCTGCGCTGATTCGCGGGCGGGGGAGGCGGCGGAGTTGGCGTGGAGGGGGTTGGTGGGGAGGGAGCCTGAGACAGACAAAATAGATGCCACAGCTTCGCTGATCCGTCGTAGGGCCAGCAGAGCCCTAGTGTGTGCAGCGGAGGCCGAGGAAAACAGTCGGGCGGAGAGACCCCCTTCGAAGAAGGTGGACAGACCGTCCAAGCTGGTGGCCGCGGCACAGGCCTCGGACCACATCCTCGAGCCATGTGGGCGCAGCAGGAAATACTGGTGGTGCACGGTCTGTGAGAGAGTGGTGCCCCGCTACCAAACGCGGGGCTTTGCGGCCACGAATTGTTCAGGGCCTCCTGCCGAAGTCAGGAGAGGTGCCCAGGCCGCAGTCGGAGAAAGGTTTGCCCCCTCGTGCCGAGGGAGCGGCTTGCTGGAAAATGTTCACCCCTCTCACAGGCTCCAGTATGTGGAGAAATGGTTCCTGCACATTTGCACGGAGTGTGGTTCCTATTGCACTGTGGACCCCAGGAATTTAGTTGCCAGATGTGACGGGCGGACCCATAAGGGTTCGGAAAACATTGCGAGGATCAGCAAAGGTTTGTTCCCGCGTCGCGAAGGCCCCCCGAGGGCTATTGTAGAGGCCATCAGGGCTCGTGATGCTGCCGCCTGCGCGGATGTGGCAGCTTTGCACAGGCGCCAGCAGTCGGAAAACCCAGGATCCGACCAGGCTGGCCAGGGTGCTGGGCCTTCGTGGGCCCAGACGGGAGCGGGGACGGACCCCGCGGCTCCCTCCAGGCCTGGCCAGGCCCATGAACCCCAGCCCGAGCGGGCTGGGGATGAAAGCGATTCCAGTGATTAAATCGCCCCCCTGGACAGCGTCCGCTATCAAAGAGTCAAAGAGTCCTCCTCCCCCTCCCCCTCCCCCTCCTCCTCCTCCCCCTCCTCCTCCTCCTCCCCCTCCTCCTCCTCCTCCTCCTCCTCCTCCTCCCCCTCCTCCTCCTCCTCGGCGCGCCGCCGAGGGGAGCGCGTGCTGCCGCCCGGCCGGCGCCAGGCTGCTCTTCGGGCCGGAGGCCAGCCTGCGGCCCTGGTGCGCGTGGCACGCGGAGCTGCTGAGCCTGCGCCCCCGTCTGGCGCGCGCGATGTCGGGCGGGCACGCTGCTCCCGAGCGAGGAGGGACGGACGGGGCAGGCCCGGGGTCGGGACGCGGGCATGTCAGGAGCGTGCGAGGCAGGCCCGGGAGGTGGATGAGTCGCCCCAGGGCGATGCAGGACGCTCTCTGGGTGTTCTTCAGCGCTCTGAAGGGTCTGCGGCAACGGCTATGGCTTTCGGCACCGACGGATCTCAAAGTTCCCCGACGTATCCCGATCCGGATGCGTCCCGGTTCTGGCGCTGCCGTAACACCTGTGCACGTATGCGGTCAGGGTCCGCCCGCCTGCGTTGGAACGCGGTCGCTCGTGCGGGCACAGTCGCGGAGAGAGTACGTGTACACAGGGTCTTGCCTTAAGTCGGGCCTGTCCCTCTACAGGGGGAATATCCAAAAATAGCGGAACTTCTCTGGGGACGATGTTTTACCATGTTTGACCACTTTCGAGTTTTTATTATTATTATTACTATTTTTCAGCCAAAATCCGTCTGTAGAGGGACATGCCCGAGCTAAGTCTGGCCGGTTCAGACAATTACCCCAGGCCTCCCAGATGGAGCCTGGGCAAGATGGGGTTGGAGGATCGCGTCGTATTGCCGATGCATCGGCGATGCGCGCGATTTGAAGCCAGAGTTCTTGTTCGTCCCGACGTCGCCGGTGCATCGGTGATGCACCAGCGACGCGGTGCCTTCTTCGACACCAGCCAATCCTCTGAGCCCATCCACTCTGGCCTCGATTGCAAGCCATGCAGATAGACAGCCCGCTGTGAACCCTGATTCTCCCAGGCCTCCGACGTTTTGAACAACTGTTGGGGCGTCTGGGGGGCCGCATGGGCAGTTCTTGCGGGCTTTCAGGCCGTCTTGGTACCTTTCGTAGGCCCGTCTTGGGACCATCTTGGGAGCCTCCTGGACCGTGCTGGAACGATCTTGGGGGCCTCGTGGGCCGTCTTGGGCAGTCGGAAGCCTGGAGAAGCCTGAACGCTCAAGTCTTTCAACACAATTGGGACATACAGTTTTGTGTTGCGACTGGGGATCTTCTTGCGGGCCTCTTGGGCCGTCTTGGGCCATCTTTGGCCATGTCGGACCCTTTTTGGTCCGACTCGAGACATCTATGACCGCCTTGGAGAGCTCCCTCGTCGCGTTCCTTGGGCCGTATTGGCGGTGCTGACGACCGTGGCTGGGAGTTCCTCCGTCTCTGAACTGAATTTGCCAGGACCTGCCTGGGGTATTTCTTTCGGGTGCCTCGAGGGGCCGCCTTGTGCTAGCGAATGTTGTGTTTTGTGTGTATATATATGGTAGTTTTCACAACTGAGGGCTGAGCAGAGGCAACAGGTCGGACGTACTCATGTCTGGCTCGAAGTTTTTAGGGGGCGCGCCTCTTCGCCCCTTTCCCCGCCGCAAGTGCTCGGCGCTGTCCGCCTCACCGCGCCGTGGCCGGGGCCGATCGGCGCCGCCTGGCTGGCGCGGCCACTGGAGTGCCCACCCTGCCCGGCCTGCTCAGCGGTCGACGCCCGCGGCGAGCCGCTCGCCCGCCTCGGCAGAGTGCCGGGGCCTCGCAGGCGGGTTCGCCCTTTGCCTGCTCGCCGGCGCGCTGCTGGCGGCGGAGGCGGCGGTGGTCCTGCAGGCGCTGCGGCGGGTCGCGGGCAACGCGGGCGTGTGGCTGCGCCCTGGGCACGGCCTCGAGATCGACGATCTGGGTGCCGCAGCCCGCGCACAGGTGACGGTGCTGCGCCACCGGCTTCTCGCTGCCCAGTGATGGCGGCGGCTGGTCCTCGTGCCCTCTGCTCGCTCGCCGCGGCGGGCGTCGCCGTCGGGAGCTCCCTCGGCATCCAGCATACGGGTGGAGAGAGGGAACTCGTGCATGAGCGCGTCGTGGTCGCCCTGAACCCAGGCACTCCTGGCACTGCCGCGGTCGTCGCGGTCGACGGCGAGGGGTACGACGGGCTGGTGGTCGGCGGCGCGGACACGCTCCACTGGGACCTGCTGCCTGGAGGGGCATTAGGCGGGGTCTTCCTGTGGTCGCCAGCGGCACGGTACTTCCATGTCGGGCCGATCCCCACAGCCACGGCGCCCACCGCTGCCGCTGGCCGCGCCCGCGTCCGCCCGGGCCCCGCGGCGCCTGTCGGCCCCGTGGTGCCCAACGTCGCGGGGCGGGGCCCCCTTGCGGCCGCCCCTGGGGTGGCGCCCGCGGGCGCCCTGGCGCGGCATGCTGGCGGTGCGCCAGGCCCAGAGGGCGGCGGAGTGGCCGCGCTCGGGACTGCGCTCGGAGGGCCAGCAGGCGACGCTGTCGGAGGCGTACTCGCACCGGCGCCAGCGCCAGTGGCGTCGGCGGTCGCGCTGGCGGCTCCCGTCGCAGGGGGGGCCCCAGCGCCGTCCGATGGGCTCGGCGCGCTGGCCCCTCGGCCAGCCGGGCTCGCCGGTGTCGCCGCCCCCGGCGGGGCAGTGCCTGCCGCAGTGCCTGTGCCCGCGGGCGGGCCAGCCGGCGGCGGCCCTGCCAGCCCCTGCGGCTACGCGCGCATCTTCGCCGTCGTGGGGAATTTGCAAGGAGTGCGGCGTGCCGACTTCGGGAGCATGGTCACCCTTTTGGTCGAGTTCCTGTGGCATGACGTGGCCAGCGCACGGGATGCGCACGCTGCTGTGGGTGCCGCAGTGCCTGTCTCAGAAGTCGGGGACTCCGACGGCCCGCCGCCACCGGTGGCTAGCGGAGACTGAGCACGTCCCCGAGTCGCCGGGCGTGGTCATCCACCAGATGGGCGGCATGGTGCTGGGGTCGGCAGTGACGTACGATCTGGAGTTCGACGGGTTGGCGTGCGTCTGCCCGGCCCTTCGCGGCTACCTCGCGCAGGAGCTGCTGCAGGATAAGGCGGTGGCGAGAGAGAGGCGCAAGACTCGAGAGGAGCTCGCCCTCGCCGGGGGCGTGCCCGTCCAGTCTGGCGCAGGGCGCGGGAGGGGGAGGCGCGGCGGCGGCCGCGGCGGCCGTGGCGGCGGGCCCAACGCCGCAGGGGGCGGTGGCTGACTCGCCCCGGGGCGGAGGGCCTGGCCAGCCGCCGCCCCTGCCCCCCTCGGCCCCCGCGGAGCCCGCCAACAGCGTGGGCTTCCCCCCTGGCGGCGCAGGGCGCCGGCTGCAGGACGACGACCGGCAGCGGGACATCTTTGCGCTCCCGCCGCTGGCTGCTGCTGACGTAACGCCCCGCGTGTCCGGGACTCGGCGGCGTGTTCGGGCCGGCCATGCTTTCGCGCACGCGCTGGGCCGCGCCAGTGCCGCCGTGCATGCCTTGAATGACCTCTACGGCGACCAGTCCTCGCCCGCGCCGACGCCGTCTACCGGGCAGCGCTGCGCCGCCGCCCACATTTGGGACTCTGTCGCTGCTCTGGGCCCTGAACCCCCTGAGTATCGCGACGACGTCTCCGACAACAACGGGGCCCTGAGGGAGCTCCTTGCTGGGTCCGCGCTGTACCCTGACGGCGGTGGGCCCACCACTCCCTACGTGCCAGACCTTGTCTCCTGGCCTGATGTCTCGCAGCCGCCCGCGCCGCTTCTTGGGTTGCTGGGCGCGCGTGACTCGGCCGCGCTGCGGGGGCGGAGGTGCCAAATGCTCCGCGAGCCCGAGGAGGCGCGGCAGCTACGGGCGGAGGCGTGCCCGCGCGGCCCGCACAGGGACCCTGCGCTGCTGCGCTCGCTGCCCGACTACGCCGCCTTCCTCAGCGCCATGATGGGGCGCAGCATGCTGACGTTCGCCCCATGCGCGAGGGCGCCGGGGCAACATGGGGATCTTCTTCGCGCCAAAGAAAAGTGGTCGTCTGAGGGTCATCTTCGACACGCGGCTCGCCAACTGCGCGTTCGTCGATGCGCCTCGCACCCAGCTGCCGTCTGCTTCCGCCTGGGGGCGACTAGAGACGGGCGACGTGCGGGTCTCCATCGCCTCGGCGGATCTCGACGTGGCCTTATACCACATGCGGGTCCCGGACGGGATGGAGGAGTTCTTCGCGCCGCCCATCCCCGCCAAGCACCTCGCTCCGCACGGGGTCGCGCTGGAGGGGGTGGAGGGCGAGGCGCTCCTGCTGCCCCAGGTGGCGGCGCTGCCGATGGGCTTCAGCTGGGCCTTGCACCTCTGCCAGACGGTGCTGGAGGCATCGTTGGGCCGTGCTGGGTTCCCTCAGAGTGACCTCATCCTCGACGGCCGCTGCGGCTGCCAGCTCACGAGCGACTTGGACTCGGTCGCGGGCGCTGGCTATGTGGTCAACTACTTCGTCCTCGGCGGCTCCCCAAAGGTTGCGAGCGAGCGGCTGCAGGCCATCGCCGACGATCTGACGCGCCACGGGCTCACCGTGCACGAGCTCGAGCCGCGCTCCCAGGACCGCGACTTTCTGGGGCTATCGCTGCGCGAGGGGCGCTGGCTCAGCCTCAGGACGCGCAATATCTGGCGGCTGCGCGCGGCCATCCGCGCCACGCTTCGGAGGCAGGTCATCAGCGGCTTCTTGCTGCGTGTCCTGACCGGCCACATCACCTGGGCGCTGCTGATGCGAAGGGAGCTGCTGTGCATCCTCGGGGCCACCTACGCCTACGTCGAGGCCACTGGGCCAGTAGCGTCACCGTTTTGGCCCGCTGTCCCCGTGAGCTGCAGCTAGTCCACGACCTGCTGCCGCTCTGCACTGCTGACCTTGGTGCCCCGTGGCACGGGCGAGTTGCTTGCGCGGGCGCCTCGCCATTTGGGCTGGGCGTCGTCGCCCGCCGCGCCCCAAAGGACTGCGTGGGCACCATTGGTAGAGTTGCTGAAAGATGGAGGTACAAGGTCGAGGGAGGTGCGCAGGCAAGGCGCAGGACGATCGGGATCAACGGTGATAATCGTCCGAGCAGTTCGGGGGCCTCGAGGGCGACTTCGGGGTGAGTACTCAGCTCGTCGGGGATGTCATCACCGAGGGCCTGCCGTTCGAGGGCGTCTTGGGAGAGGCCTCTGAGGGCCCGGTCGGGCTGCA